AATAATCAATTTATATGACAATTAAACTAAAAGGTATATTTTCATATTTGTTTTAAAAAGAATTTAGAATATCTGCGTACAAAAACAAATTGTTCCGCAGAGGAGGGCTATCTTAACCCGTTTAATTCCGATTCTTTATTGGAATAAAAATCCATCAAACTCATAAATTATGTAACAAAGTACAATGTTTTCATAAGTTCCAAATAAGTTAAAATACACCGGAAGACAAGTATTTAGGCAATTTTGCAAGTACAGAAAAAAAAGAAAAGCCTGTCAAAGGTATATAATACACTTGATATGATTTAAGTAAAAATCAAATTTTGAAGATGCTATTATTTTAGTTTTTTTCCTATCCTGTGTCCCATTCAAGATTTTTGTCATTGTTTATTTAAAAGTGTTACAACTAGACGGTTAATCAAAACTAACATTGGAAGGTTAAGAAAGAATACATTTTAATGGAGAAAAAATACATGTTTTGGCATATCAACCATAGAAACTGAAGACAATGCTACCCTTTTATATATATTTTTATTTTATTTTACCGTTCATCAAATTCCCTGAAGCCAGCAGCTTTGTGCTGCTTACTATTTGTCAAGATATTATACATATAAAATAAATCAACGATACCTGACGTGTATGCAGCAATGGATAATAAATGTGTGATCATACACCAGAAAACTGCCATTATAAACCAATGTGTGCACTGTTAAACTTCCTGATAAAATTTGAATTGATTTATCTAAACGGTTTATACTTTTCATACCTTATCTTAAATAAAATTATATAAAATAATACACGCTAGGCATAAGCGTACACATTTCTTGTTCAATGTGTACTATTTAATTTTATTTCTTGATGATGTGTTTCTAATATGCACATGGTAGTCAGGCCTTAACATATAGGTGACACTTATTATGTAATTGTGTATTGAATTAAATGCCCTTAATCTTGATAGCACACAGGTGTGTTGTTTATTTAAACAAAATTGTGTTAAAAATTATCAGATGTAACATATAGAAATACTTTTATCATGAGGCAATTTTTCAGTTGGTCATATTTAAAAAAAAAACAACTACACTATTGTTAGATCTTCTAAGTACACACAAGAACGTGTAATACTATAAACTTTAGTATTTAAAATTGAAATACTTTTTGAAATTGACGCTGATGTAAACTACATTCAGGACAAATGTACTGATTTCAATGCACTCGAAACGCGTTTTTTGAAAATATGATATTTAGATACTGTCCTCTTCTATAAAACATACCTTTTCTAATGACAGTTCAAAATTTTCCGCCCTTCATTAACTTCGACCCTTTTGTACAACCTTCTTATTTAATGAATTGTTAATTTGTTCTCGTCCTGAATTTGTATGAAATTTTTGCCGCTGGGCATTAATCAAACCAAAATATATCGGTCAATCAATCGTTTGAGTATAAGCTTATAGCATGATTGGTGTTAGAAACATAGCTTAGTTTTTATGGAAACTATACCTAAGTTTTCATTTATTGAAAAAAATCAAATTAACTTATTGAATCGGTTCCTCATATTTTATTTTCTCTTATGGTTGTGGCCTGTTATCTTTTTCTTGCACGAAGAGATATTTCTCGTATCACACTGCACGGAAGTTAATTTGATTGGCTTATCTAGCACCATGAGACGATATAACGACATTTCCATTGGCTATTTGGTAGGTCAGTGACGACTTTCAAAGGTTAAGACGATGTACATTGCGTCCATGGCAACGGACATATGTGATTTCTTCAATAATATACAAAATACTCACACTTTTCACCTGGAAATCTTCTTTTTGTAAAATTTTATTGCATTCTGAAGCGTTCAAAAAGTTTTGAAATGTCTGATGTTTAAGTTTGACGCCGGAACAGGACATATGACAACATACTGGTATGTGCAAAAGACTAAATCAACGATTCGCTTAATTTAATATTTAACACAATGAGAGTGTTGACCATAAGAGAAATAAGTTTAACAACTCGTTATAATTGTCCAATATATTTCACTACGAAATTGACTGGTGATGAAGTCACAATAAGTTTACAATGGTCTTAACATAGCATGAACACATCTTGAAATGATTTTATTTTAAGAGACAAATTAATTTCAAAGTCCAGGAAATTTATCATAGTTCAATGAAATCAAGTTTTAATCATACAAAGGATATACAATTTCGCACCATGAATCAAGACAATTAGCAATTTCCTTTGATAGTCTTATTTCTGAACAATATTTTTTATCCCCATTAAATCAAGATATTGTGTTTGCCAAATTGATAAATATAAATTTTAAAGTTAAAGAAATTCACCAAATAAGTTTACTTAGTATTACTTGTCCAACATTCGTTCCTTTTTTTGGTCACAAAAAAAATAATCAGGGGTTATTTTCAGGTAAAAGAGAGGCGAAAGATACACGAGGGACATTCAAACTCATACGTGCTTTCACTCATAAAACACTCATAAAAGTGATTTTCATTGAGGAAACTAATTATAGAAAATTGTGCAATCTCATTAACAGAATAGTAGTTATCTTATTTCTGATTGAGATTTAGAAATGTTTACAATGTGTCTGGACTTCTTGAATGTAGCCTCCTTTTACCAACTTGTGTAGAATATGTCAATTTCAACTCAAGAGAGGACATATGTTGTTAAGTGACAGGAACCGTACATTCTTTGAAATACTCCGTCAGATAAATAGTGACCAGAAAGAACAAAAACACCCTGATGAACCTCTATGTCAATTATTAGACCACATGCGGTTTGATTAATAAAAATCAAATCACAAGTCAAGAGTATCTGGGAGCTTATTGCAGTTATGCCAATTTTAAGGAAATAAAAGTTTTCATTTGGACACAAAATAAATATTTCTTTAGTGCCATTCTAAAATATACATGTAAGATCAAATTTTTTACTTTTAATTAAGTTACCTGATTATTTGTCTTTGTGCTTTTGACGATGTTGTTTCTATTTTGTTAACCCTTGTATTGATATTTACTTAATTTTAACCTTAAGTGTATACCATATACGGTATGTACTGTCAACGACAAAAACATTTTTTGTTGACGTCATTTAAATTTTTTTACTATCTACACCTTTTTTGTTGGCCTCTTAGTTAGATTTATTTGTTTGTTTGGTTGTTTTAGTTAGTTATATTGTATATCTGTGATGTATGTTTATACAGTTTTGGCTGCTGGATCCCAATTATTTTCACATTAACCAATTATGTCTGTTTGGGTTTCTCACCCAATTTTGTCAATATAACGGAACTATAAACAACTGTCATACAAGTGGGAGGTTTAGTTAGCTATAAAACCAGGTAAAATCCACCATTTTCTTTGGAAATGCCTGTACCAAGTCAGGAATATGGCAGCTGGTTTTTTTTCACTTGTTCTGTTGATTGATAGCGTTTGATTTTGTCAGTTTTTATGCACATCCCCTTTTTAATTTTCCGTGTAGTTCAGTTTGTTTGTTATTCTTTTTTCATTATAAATAACCGCTACAGAGGTTAATCTGAGAACAAGTGGTGGTACGTAGTGTTTAATGAGTTAAAGTTTAAGTTACATGTACCTGAGACAGGATTAATCATTCGCGAACCTAAACAAATCAAGCTGACATATAGATAATATTTTATAGATAATATTATCGACCAAAATGATCTGTGTTCTTGAAACGTATCAGAAGTTAAATAATTGTACATTGTACGTTGGAGGCATAGTTACCTGTATACAATCACAGTACATAAAAGCTTTGCGGAAATGTAAATATTTAATTACATGTAACGTCAATGATATGTTTGCATTTCTCTTGTACACAAAAAGTCTTAGTCTTATCTTATTCAAATCCCACTTCCACTTCCAAGTAGAAAAATAAATATACCAAAGACGAAATTAATATTCATTTACGTCAATAAATTACTTAAAAAGTGTTTGTATTGCAATTATTTATCGTTATTTGGCGCCAATAAAATTTGTTTTTAGTGGCGCAGGTGAAACAAATATAAATGCAAATGACAAAATATTTTGGAGCAAATCTTGTTAAGGATCAGCTGATTGTATTTTAGTGATAAAATTGATTGCTTGCATGTACGGTGTCTCCTGTACATTATAAATGTATTCGATGTGTCCAAGGTTAGTTTTTATGACATAATTGTGTTTTCATATCTTGCGTTGTATTTTTTTTTCTTCATTTTTAATAAATAGTTATTCTAATACATTGATATTTCAAGTGGGATGTGATCTGATGACTTTTAAAGTATTTAATTATTTCATTATTAAAATAACAAAAAGCTTCAAAATAAAGATATTTAATCTTAAACTACGCAAATAGCCATCATGTGATGTTTCAGATAATCTGTTAGAACTTTACCTTTTTTAACTCAAGGAATATTTAATAATGCTTTTTCAATGGAACATTCAAATCTCATTGATCAAGAGAAATTGACAACGCAATGGCAATAAATACGAAAACGACGAAAAGGAAAACAAGTTTAAAAACAGTACATAGAAAACTAAAAACTGAGCATCAAAAATTCTGCTAAAACTAAGAGTGATCACTGGTGCTCAGGAAAGGTAAACATAACCTGCTCAACTATTGACACCCGTTGCATTGCTCATGGTAAGTACACATACGGTGATGAGTCTTGTACAGTAATATCACAATCCTGGAAATGAGGTCGGGATTGTCGTTACATATATTCCATAACGGTCAACCAACAGATGAGGGCGTCCGTATAACTTTCTAATGGATAAACTATACTACTTGGAACCCTTGGTTCAATAGCAGCCTTTTAAAGAACAATCATTTATTAAAGAAATTATGATATGAAAAGCAGGCTTTTTTGTTGCAAGTTAAATAATGGATCATATATACCCGTTATGATTCTGTCGTTTATATTCCTATAAAGTTCAAATTCAAAATTTAAAATTGAAATTTTAACCTAAATTTAAAAACGATGAATCAGTTATTACTATCAGATAGGTCATGTATAAACTTTAAATACTTTTAATACTATAACTAAACCTATGACTGCATATCTTATATTGTAAAACTGATTAGTTTGTTAAAAGAAGCAGCCTTCAATGTTTCATACATAGATTTATATTCTAACACATATTTACACTTCAAATTAAATCATGTGTGCATAATTTCAACACAAAAATGTATGTTGAAATTTGTATATTAATAACATAGATAAGCAACATCACTAGGTCCTGAATTGAAAGATTATGTACATAATTATGTATTTATAAAATTCATATAGTCAAGTTACTCTACCAGCCCTAGGTTTTTGCGAACATTTGAATTTTTATTCATAGTATATGGTTCATCCAGTTAATTTCAGTATCTTCATAGTTGCCGTAAAACAAACTTTATTTGATTTACTCTTTTTTTGAAAGCTTCTTCCTGTTTCTAGTATCGAGTATCCCATATTATGCCATGTTTTACCTTTCTTTCAAGGCAATTTTACCCTCTTTTGAATATATGCAAGTTGTATAGAACTGCATACAAATAGATAAAAAGAAGTCAATGAACAAGAAAATGAAATAAATTTAAGTTACAAGGTTAAGGATGCAAGTTTTCATATATTATCTTTTCTTGGTAATGCCTTTGTGATTCTGAAACAAGAAAAGTCAATGTATTCAATACTATATATAGCCCTAGGTAGTAGCAAAATAAAAACCAAGGATTTCTTATTTTTGATGTAACAGTTACTGTTTAATATAGAGAAATTGATATTTACCAAACACTCTTTTGTAATAAAATGAACAGAAGTCAGATTTTTCATTATTAAATTGTTCATTATCAACTGATTTCCCTCATTCCAGAAATATATACATCTGAGGCAAAATAGGACCTCGTGTATCAATATTAGAAATATGTGTATTTGGAAAATACGCACAGGACTATATTGTTTGGAAAAAGTTATCCTGAACTATTCTCTGAAAACTCGAATCTTTTCTATTTTTAACTGTGGTAAGATTTGATTCTATGAAAAATATTGTTTACAAAAAGGTTTCTAAAAAAAACTGTTTTCTTATGTGTAATCAGGAATATGACAACCTTTGCCCCACGACGTTAACTTGGAAATAAATATTACTTTTAGAATGGTTATGTATAACATGTACTATATGTTTTCAGTGTTTGAGGGCTGTTGTATTTTAGTTTCCGGAACTGTAAGTGTAGTATAGTGTGGGGTCGAAAAGATTGAAAATAGGGTCGCTCTGTCATTGATGTATACCTTATGATCCTTTATTCATAACAATTCAATGAAACATTTATAAGTATCATAAGGGATTTGACAGTTGTTCTACGATAAATTTTGATCGTTATTACTTGTTCATTCATTTGTTTTACTCTGACTAAATTATGTTTTCTTTGTATGAATTTGACATGATTCAAGTGAAGCATTTTGTCCTTAATGTTTAGTTCATTTAGTTCTGTAATAGTATTTAAGTATACATTGTATGTTGTAACCATCTCAGTCATAGTTAATCTAAGATGGCGGTGGACTTGATGTTTTATGTTCTCGTTTACGGATTTCCAATCTGATGGTCTCTTGTTTACCTAATGGATTTTAATGACAATCATGTTCTGTGCATGAAAATCTTATAACACGTTTTTTGGTTACAAATAGGTCGGTAACGCTGTTTCGTGACTGTACATTCCACCAAGTAGCCTCTGCCTTAGTATGTATAAAGGAAATGAATTTTGCATCTTATACTTGAAATATCCTGTTCTTAAACTTATGTTAGTGTACTAACGCTAAGGTTGCAACCGTATTAGGAAAAGTTGACTTGACACAGCTGTTAATGTTTTGTATTCGCTCTTTTGGTTTTGTGCCCTCCTAAGTATTGCACTTTTAATTTCGTGCATATCTGATGGATATTTTTCTAAAAAGAATCCTTTTTCAAAGGTTTTATGGCATTTTATTCCTTCTTGCTTTAGGTCAGACTTGTTAAAAAAAAAGGTCTTATAGCATTTCATAGATTTGAAGGGTCCATCTTCAATATTAAAGTATAGATTACGAAATGATACAAGAAGAAATTATTTTAAATATAATATTAATGCAACACCATTTGATATTGCATTATCTTACCATTGTCTGTTGGTGTCCAATTTTGGTAAATGTTATCAGTTTTGATGCTTTTAACATCTCCAATGTCTTCATAAGAGCTGTAAATAAATTTACATCTATGTTTCATGTTTGTTTTTAGATAAGTGCTAACGTATTTAAAAACAAGAGACGAAAGAAACCAAGTGCACATTCAAAACTCATATGTCGAGGGAAACTGACACATCATTATTGTTTTCCGTATTGTAAGATTCATTCTTAATAAACTAAAACGCAGCACGACAGTATGATGTTCTTAAGTTGCACGATTCAAACGGAAATCAATTACAAAGACATTTTGGCAAGTCTTGCATGTGCATTTTGTATTTCTATTTCACAACAAAATGTTGATAAATAACAAAAGTTCTAATAGGTTACTTATTTAACATACCTTTCTTCTGTTTTCTTTTTCATATTTTTTGCCTCTGAAAATGTAACACTAAAAAACTTGTAACAATTTTATTTTTCAATTGCATTCATTACATGGATTTGTATATATGTAAACTACACCTTGATTACCTCATATAAAAAATGACGAGTTTGTCACAAAATACATTAATCGCACTAAGTATACATGTAGATATACTAAAAAATTTCCAAAGAAAGAAGCAAACCTCGTGTTTTTCTTTTTTTTCTTTTTTTTTTAAATATGAAATAATGAGATACAATTAACGCAATTAATGATTGTGGTAAACATTTTTTGTTTACAAAGATGACATCTTTAATCAACAACATTTTTCGAATAACATACATTTTCAAATCTATATGCCAAAAATTAAGCCTTTACAAGCCTTAATACTACTACTACACAAAAAACCCGTTTATTTCTCTAGTTAATAAATTTTAGTCTGAATAGTATTTGACAAAGTTATCAATCATCCTGTTGATGCTGATGAATTGATGGTAAGGTGTCAACATTTTGAATTCTAATTTTAAAATCCGATCGAAACTCAATTTCTAAACATGCAAATATGATTCCCCAGCGATTACACCAGAAGCATTTTAACATATGGTTCTATATTTTGTCTATTTCTAACACAGTATAAACCATTCCGGAGCAACGGCAATTACCCCCTGTTTTTGGTGTGGTTCGTGTTGCTCAGTCTTCAGTTTTCTATGAAGTGTCTTATGTGCTGTTGTTTGTCTTTTTGGTCTTTTTCCTATTTTTGCGAGTTTATTTTCGACTAGTGAGTTTGGATGTCCTTTGGCATCTTTTGCCTTGCTTTTACCCCTAGTTTGCATTGTCTAGTATGTGGGGAAAAGACTTACCCTGGTAAAACCAATTAATGAGTTTGAATGAAAAATCAGAAATATACGTAAAGCTTCTTGCCTTTTTCAGAAAACGAATTTCAGAAGCAGGCTGTCAGTGTATGACAGTTGATATGGAATGAAACCTCTAGTGAACTATTACCTTTTTCTAATACTCATTTACAGATTAAGAGAATAAAGCAACACCTTACCTTTGGCTCCTTAGTGATTTTTTAAGAAACAGAATTGTCTTAAATGTGTATTTTGCCTTTTTTTATTATAAAAAGGTATTTACATCAGTCTTTTCTATTCATTTTATCAATTAAAATGAACAGGTAAAGGTTATCAATATTTCAGAATGATAAAATATTACAACAAATGGTAGTAATTATCTAATTTAAGAAAAAAAATTACATGCACTCTAACAAACCGCGTTAAAATCAAAAATTTTAGTTTAATGTTGCCCTATGTTCATTTTACAAATGCAATTATATACTTTTTTAACTCTTCTGTTTAAGCGCTTTTACAAACTTTAAAGTAGCACTTTGAACGCTGTAACTTTATTGTATCGTATTTTAATTTTTTTTACAACTACCGTTTTAACTGTTATAGCTATTACTAAAATACCAATTGTTATGGTGACAATGTCAAGGTTATTTAGTACTTACCCTTCCAACTGTTTTGATTCGAGCGCCATTGTGTGTAAACGAAACGCGCGTCTGGCGTAATAAATTATAAGCCTGGTATCTTTGATGAGTATTGAACCAATAGAGATGGGGAAATATTTTGTATCAATAAAAATATATTTATACGAAGATGTAAAGATATTCTAAATAAATAGACCACTCGCCTGCTTCGACATTTCCCAAATCATTATACAGATGCATTTCTCTGTTTGGTAATTTTCTGAAAAAAGATGAGAGTATTTGACTATGTTTCCATATTGAATTGACTCATTTACAATTACAAAGTTAAATTACAAGGTTTTTTTTTTTTTTGTTATTTCTCTTCTTTTTCCATTTCATCAAATTAACAAGATATTAACTGCTCAGGTTATGAGAATGGGTTGTGCGTCTGCAAATATGTTTGCCCCGCCACATTCTGTATTTGCATGTCTCAGAACTCTGCAATGCATGGGTTGCTGTATATATATTTTTTTTACTGTTTTGAACATTTGCAATTTATTTCTCCATTGAACTGTTTTACATTTTATCATGGTGAGGCCCTTTATGCCTCGGAACGCGGTACAGGTTTTTCTCATTCTTGAAGGCCATACGGTGACCTATAGTTGCTAACATCTACGTCATTTGATTTCTGAGGGCAAGTTGTCGCATTCATGCATTGGTAATCATACCTATCTCCGTATTTTATATTTATAAACATTAACACAACAATTAATCTAGAGAACGGATAGATATCAATGTATTCTAATGTACTTATAGGGCTTTTATTAGCAGCCGTTGAATGACTTTATCTTTAATTTTTTGGTGTATGTGTTATTCAGTTTAAACAGTTATGTCATACAAACTCATTATCCTTACTAAAACAAGATCAAGATGCACACTATAGATTCATCCGTTAATGTCTGTGTAAATAGCATGTGAAAAGATAATGGATGTCGACTTCTAATAAAGTATGTTTAGAAAATTGTCATAAAAAGGCGTGCATTGAATAATAAATTTACCCCTGTCCTTTTGGTGTTGATTCATATACACTTTTGTTGCTGTTTTCTGTGAAGGAAATTAATTGATATATATTGTAAAATAAAGTAAAATTAAAATACATCATAGCTTTCCGTACCTATCATTTACCAGTGATCTTGATAAAAATAAAACAAATAGTCGAGAGTGAGTAAATAGTTTCGTGACGGTCAAAACTAAAAAAAATTAAATATTGAAATATTTCAAACAATTTGAAGTTCTCTCATTTCAAATTAATTCAAATTGATTTGTTATATAAATATAAAACCTAATTAAAGATACTAGGCATACAATTTGGTACACCAGACATTACAGACGTTCGTTTCGTTTACATAAGACTCATCATTCGCGTTCAGATCGAAACAGTTAGAAAGCCACATCAAGTACAAACTACCTCCATGATAAATATGTTGTTGTCCCCGCAGTTAAAGCCCCACACAACATTGTTTTTTTGTAAAAATCACATTACATAAACTGCTTGGTAAAGGGATTAGGTATTGACAATTCAGTTCACTTAACAAGGAAGAAATCCTGAATAATCATAGGTCTGTTCTATGTTCCTTTGGCATTTCAACCAAAGATGAAGTTCTAGATCTTCCTTCACTGTATTTGATACCTAAATTAGTTTTCTTACAAACAACGTTATATTGCTGGATGTTCTAAGTGCTCCACGAAACCTCTTTCTAAATTATTAACATCAATTTCATCAGTAATCAAACATAGGCTTTATAGTTATTGTGAAACTTCCTACTCTAGGTGCGGCATGAATGAGATGTGGATACTTAAAAATTCCAAAGATCTTTTAAAGTACATACAGTACAAGTCTCTTTCATTTTGCAATAGTATCAACACATTTATCTTTTCTATCCTTTACACAAGTATCCCCCTTTCCAAACTAAAAAACAAATTAAAAGAATTGTTTCTGCTTTGTTTCATAAAAAAGAATGGCCAACGTGGATTCAAGTATTTTTTCTAGGGAGGGATAAATATGACTATGAAAAAATAATCTGATTTATACAAATATTTCCATGAAACTAGCATTATCAAGATTCTTGATTTCTTGATTGACACATATTTGTTACGTTTGGAGGACGTGTTTTTCAAGAAACAATTGGCATTTCTATGGGATTCAATTGGGATTAAACCAGGAGTTCCTAGTGGTAAAGTTGAAATCATCCCTTCGAACATTTTACGGGCGCCATCATGAGTTGGTTGATCGTTATGGAATATCTGTTTCACAGATGACGACAGATATGTTTTAATTGTCGTTACCACAATCCCCGTCCTCTTTTCCCCAAAGGTGATCTACCGAACTAGATTTATCAATGGGTTTTACTTACATCAGCAACACGACAGGTGCCACATGTGGAGCAGGATCTGCTTACCCTTCTGGAGCACCTGAGATTATCCCCGGTTGGTGACGTTCGTGTTGCTTAGTCTTCAGTTTTCTATGTTGTGTTTAGTGTATTGTTGTTTTTTCTTTACGCCGTTTTTCGATTTTGCCATGTCATTGTCGGTTTGTTCTCGATTGACGAGTTTGATCATCCTTTTGGAATTTATCGCCTCTGTTGAACAGTACTAATTTTCAGATGAAAAAATTCCAAATAGTTTTTCCAAATACGGCTAAGGTTTACGTGTCTCACTGTGTTGAAGTGTTTTTGGTATTAAACATTTTGCACATCATGTCTACACAATCGGTTTATATAAAATTTGATTGTTGGTCTTACTGTGGCATTTCCAAATCATTATACACTTAGCTGACGAAGATAAAAAAAAACATAAAGACATCACGATGTCTGGTTGGTGGCATATTGTAAATGATATCGTTCAATATATTCTGCTAACTTGTTTTATATGATATCTTATGTTTAAATGCTTTTGACTACCAATATTGACTAATCATTTCATGGGTTTTGCCATAGTTTTATACATTTTCCTTGACAAGGATAACTGATAAGATTCAAGAAATAAACAATATGCAATGTTTTTAGTATACATGTTATACTTATTCAATTAAATTAATTTGTTTTTACAGATGTGTTGCTTCAAAGTATATATTTACCGTTTCTTCTGTTTATTTGACGCTTTCTTAATATGAAAATAACAACTCCGATAACAACTACAAAGATGAAAATAACACCTGCTCCGACCCCAGCACCAGTTATAACATAATTATCAGATGTATCAGATGTATCTTGCGAAATGGGTCCAGTTAACACTACAATAGAAAAAGAACTAATGTATACAAGCTTTTCGTTTAGGTTGAAAACTGCTACTTTGAACATTTTCCTTTTTTTAAACATGGCTTCATGTTTTGACGGCGTTCACTTGTTGGTGTTTGTAGTTATTTTTTCGTGCATCAAAAAAATGCAGAATCTGCATATGTTCCTTCAATAGGAGGACACAACAAGGAGTCTATTACTAGTATCTGATTTTGGTGGAAAAACGTCAACTTATTTTCTTTCGTCACCAAATGCTACAGTTTTAAATCGTTATATGTTTCTTAAAACACTTTTCATCTACAGAAATAATTTATGATTAGACAAATATGTGGATGTTGGATCATTGTTCATAACAAAGAAATACAAAGTATTTAACATTTATATGCGTACAAAGCCAATACTTAAAAGAGATGCATGCAACGCTGCGTATTTGCAAATGAAAAACAACCTGAAAAATTTCGTGCGTCCGAGCTTTATGACCAAGAGGGATATACAAGAATATTACTAATTCATCTAAGGTAACTTTGAGGGAGTTGGAACCTTCGTTTCTTTATGATTTCTTAATGTATCTACGTAGAATTTTAGAATATTACGTAATAGGTCCCAAAACTTTGACTACTGAGTTGTCAAAACATGAATTTAGAGATGAATATTTATTTTAACAAACTTTTATTTTGTATTCTTTAAGAGTTTGTCAGAGTTAATTAATGGAGCGAAAGAAAAATACAGGAATATTTGAATGCAACTAACGATACAATGTGACAAGATAAATAGATGAAGTCGACATTGTATACTAAGTATTTAAAAAGATCTTATACTTTCATGACAATACTTAGAAAGGAAAAAAAAAGTTACAGAGATTGCAAAATTGTAGCATAGTCTCATAAGAATTCGATTAAATATGATATCCTTTAACGGTTGAATAGTACATCTTTTTGTCCATAACAGTTAAGGAGTGCGATTGCTTATTATCTGAAATGAAAAGTCCGTTATGATGATCAATTTTGATTCTGAACTCTATAATATGCATGCTTCTTTACAGGAACAAATTGTTGACTAGATTTTAATATAAACCACTGAATTAAATCAATAGTATGGCGAATAATATCGATTCATATTAAATTCAATCATTACAACATATCGATGTGACTACCATTCAAATACTACAGGACAAGAACAGTAATAAATATTGTGACAGTCTTTTGTATACTGCTAGTGTCTTGCAATGGATATAGGAAATGTCGAATGTTTGATTTGATTATGTGGTGTTAATCTGTCTTTTTTTTAGTTTCTGCTATTTGATTTATGAGATTTGAACATCGGTGATCAATTGCTGCCTCTAATTTATCACAATTCAACTTACACATTACATTAATATTGTAAACTTTTTGCGAAGTCATATTTGTTTCAGGCAGTCCTGATGGTGTTAAAGTGTTCATTACATGGACAATGTAACTACCACTGTCGATTTGTTGTATATTCTTAATAATCAGAGATATTTCATTATAAATGAAGCTAGTATCATTCTCACGGGTCCACCATATACTTGTAGGAGATGGGTTAGCATCTATTGTTGGCGAGAGTGTAAGTGTGCTTCCTTCTTCAATGGTATAATCAGGAGAACCAGAAAGAACAGGCTTATCTGAAATGGTCAAAACAGTTTTCCAAGTATTGCGAATGTGAACGCTTTTTTTTTTATTTTGCCCTGTTGCATGTGTTGATGACGTTGTTTTTTATGAAATGTTACTCGGCGAACACATGCTGGTAGAATAGATTATGTAGTTGGTTTTTTTTCTCTTTTGAATTGTTAGAATTTTGTCATACCTTATATACATTTACATTTACGGTATATGTTTTGCTTATTGTTGAAGGCCGTACAATAGACTGGTTCATCTTGACGAATCCCCGATAAAATGTAGAATGTTGATTTGCTTCAATTAAATGAAATAAAGAAAGATATTTTTTTCCGTAATGTCACGATCATCGATGTCTAAATTATAAATGATAAGGAACTTTCCGTTTTGATTTTTTCCTTGGAGTTCGGTATTTTTGTAATTTTACTTTTTAATGGTGAGTCTATACTGATAGACGTTCAAATTGTGTATACTGATGAAAACGGTCTTGTTGATCTCATTATTTTCAATGCAATGATATCTATATATGACGGCATCAATTATATTCCGTGTTAGCACAGGAACGTGATAATGAGCTTGTGATATCCTTTGAGAAGAAACGTCCACCCCTTGTAGGCTTATACATAAGTACACCAGACGTGCATTTCGTTTAAATAAGAGGCATTCGAACTAAACAGCTAAACACAATCCGAAAAGCACTGAAAAACCTAATTCCAAAGGGTTAAATCCAAAGGTTGAACATTCTATGTTTGAATGCTACACAGGCAAATTGTGGCTCACGCAAATTCCACATGAATGTCACGTGCAATTCACGATAAAATTTCACATGAAAGTCACGTCAATTGAGCTTATACGTGAAACTCACGTGAAAATGTTCACCTGAATTTTACATGAAATAAAGATTTACATGAATCTCATGTTAAATTGTTAACGTGAAATTCACATGAACTTTACAATAATAACATTTGAAAATTAAGATATTATTTGAATACCTTTATTTTTAAAGTTCACGTGAATTTCACGGGTAAAAATCAATGTGATTTTCACGTGAAATTCACGTGAGTTTTACATTAGATTCACGTGAAACTCATGTGAAATCAATTCACGCGAGTGAAATTTCCCTGTGTACTACGTTATTTAAAACTAGAAACGATATGTCAACGTCATACATGTTAGTATAACATAATATTGTTTATTAAGAAAAATTTCCCTGGTAAACACTTTTGTACTATTTAACTACTTCGTATATTAGATTGTAGATTTTTACTCACATTGTACATTGACATAACACATTTTCTGTGAAGTTCTTTTCTGTGGAGGCATTCCTGATGGTGTTAATATGTTCATTGCATTAAAGATGTAGCTACCACTGGATTTCCTCTGTATGTTGCTGATTGTAAAATTTGTGTTATAATATCTAAAGTCGGGTTCACTTTGGCGACTCCACCATACAGACGTAAATTGTGGATTTGCATTAATTACAGGATATATTGCGAGACTACTTCCTTCTGTTATATCAATATCGTTGATCTCGGCGATTATTGACTGGTCTAAAACGATTAACTTTTAGACTAAATATACTTATGAAAACATCAATAAAATCAATATTATGATAACTTAAAAACAATGATCATTTCGGACCTTTCATAGAAATAATAAAAAAAAAAAAAAAAATCTATATATACATGTATATAATAGTGATCTAGGGCGCTGGACACATTTTAGACGGTTGTGCCACGATGTCTCAGATGCAGGGGTTCAAATCCCGCTGAGGGAAGAACAAAAATTTGATAACGCAAATTTGCAGATCTTAAATTGTTGGGCTAAATTTAAGACGAAGTATATATATCTAGATATATACTCAAAGCAGCACTAACCCACAAGAAACAGATGTAAGAAACAGATTATGACAACAATCATTTTGGTCGTGTTTATTCAAAATAAAGCATTATTTCTTTTCAAAACATGTGACAGTGGTTCGTATGAATCAAAGGATAAATCCACTTTAAAGATTTAAACATGTATAGTAAAATATTTCGTAATTTGCAACTACAAGTAGCTTTAATGTAGTATATAATAGCATAATCGATATAATAAGAACTCTTTATTGCATGTCTATGATTATCTTTATGTTCATTCTGATAGTCTCTGAGGGTATCACCAGCCCAGTAGTCAGTTATACTTCGGAACTAGCATAAAATACGAATTTTGTTTGCTCGGCTTTGTCTTTACTTTTTTGGCAATTTTTGTTTATAGATCTTCATCTTTTTAATAAACTTTGGATTTTCAAATATTTTGGCCTCGAGCATCACTGAAGAGACTTTGATTATCGAATTGCACATCTGGTGTAAAACAAAAATGATACCGTTTATGTTATTATCTAATGTAATATGACTGTATCAACTCCCTAACGCAAAGAGCTATCGATCAATTGCTCTTTGGACTTTTAACACTTACACTGTACATTTACATATAACATTTTCTTTGAAGTTCTATTCTGTGGTGACATTCCTGAGGGTGTTAAAATGTTCATTACATGACAGGTATAGTTTCCGCTTGAGTTTCTTTGTATATTTGTGATTGTAAGATTGCTGCCGTAATATATGAAGTCAGGTTCATTTTGACTAGTCCACCATAACAATGAAGGTTGTGGATTAGCATCAATAACAGGATATATTTTGAGATCATTTCCTTCTGTAACGTTATGATCTTGGATCTCTGAGATAACTGGCTGGTCTGAAATAATTCATTGTCAGATTGTTTAAATTCTTGAACACTTTTTTCAAATAAAAATTCATGATAACGAATACAATATCAATGCATCAATATGTATTTAATATTTTCGACATACAAATAATCGTTAGTTTTGTCGTCTGAATTGTTTTTTTTTTTCATTTGTCATTTCGGGGCCTTTTATAGCTGACTATGCGGTATGGGTTTAAATCATTGTTGAAGGCCGTACGGTGACCTATAGTTGTTACTTTCTGTGTCATTTGTTCTCTTGTGGAGAGTTGTCTCATTTGCAATCATTGTACATCTTCTTATTTTTATATTGAACTGGTTTTTTTTTTAAATCAGGGCAAAAAAATTAACAACATACAAAAACCATTACACTTACACTGTACATTCACATGAAACATTTTCTTTGAAGTCCTTTCCTGTGACGGCATTCCTGATGGTGTCAATATGTTCCGTACAAGAAAGGTGTGGTAACCACCGGATTTTCTCTGTATATTGCTGATTTTAAGATATGTACTATTATATCCGACTTCGGGTTCATTTTGACGACTCCACCAAAACAATATAGGTTGTGGATTAGCATCAATTATAGGAAATATTATCAGCTTATTTCCTTCTGTAATGTTATAATCTTCGATGTCTGAGATTTCTGGCTGGTCTGAAACAATTAAATATCAGACTGTTAAAAATCACGAACACACTTCTGAATATTAAATTAAGATTACAAATGTAAATCAATGATATTATTTTGGGGAAGGCAAACAATGTTATTGAAATAATAAAGTTTAAAAAAACATAATACAGTGACATTCAAAATTATAACATGAAGGACCAACGATACCATGACCAAAAGACAAAAATTAAACGACGAACTATTGTTCACTTCACAGGAACTGTATGTAGTTTGAGCACCAATAAAGCTGGTGTTCCAGAAAGCATAGAATGGTCTGCTATTCCTGCTTTTTAAGTTATAGCCATTATAATTATCATTTAATATTAGTTTTAGATTTTTTAGATTTACCTGTTCTATAAATTCAGTGAGCGTACTGTCCATTAAATCAAAAGACAAAAAATAGTTGTCTTTCGATCAAATGTAGCATAACATCTTTGTGAGAAAAAATAAACAAATGCACGAGAGCAAACAAGGGTTATGTTCTTCTCATATATTTTATGACGGTATAATACTAAACCCCTAACAGGAGGGATTGTGCCTGATATTCATATGATGAAGACATAATCTTTCAATCAGTTTAATTGAGGTCTGGAGCTGGCATGTCAGTAACTGCTAGTAGTCTGTTGTTATTTATGTATTATTGTCATTTCGTTTATTTTCTTTTGTTTCCTATTCTGACATCGGACTCTTATACTGAGTTTTACTGTGCGTACTGTTGTGCGTTTGTTTTTACTACATTGGCTAGAGGTATAGGGGGAGGGTTGAGATCTCAAAAAACATGTTTAACCCCGCCGCATTTTTGCGCCTGTCCCAAGTCAGGAGCCTCTGGCCTTTGTTAGTCTTGTATCATTTTTTAATTTTAGTTTCCTGTGTATAATTTGGAGTTTAGTATAACGTCCATTATCACTGAACTAGTATACATATTTGTTTAGGGGCCAGCTGAAGGACGCTTCCGGGTGCGGGAGTTTCTCGCTGCATTAAAGACCCATTGGTGGCCTTCGGCTGTTGTCTGCTCTATGGTCGGGTCGTTGTCACTTTCACACATACCCCATTTCCATTCTCAATTTTAAGGATAAAGGCCTTTTTCCAATAAACTCATCAAAGATACCAGGTTTATAATTTTGTACGCCAGTCTACCAAAAAATTATCAGTGACTCTCGAATAAAAAAAAAGTGTTTATGTTTATAAGACATTTTTCTTGTTTCTTCGGCTTGCAATTTAGTACAAATGTTCATTATGGTATGCAATGTAACACATATATGCCAAAGCAAGATTTTGATACAAATTTAGGGTTCAATGAACACGAAAATAAGATATTGCGAGTGGAGAATTGTGGCATATTCTTATTCATTTGTTTTGTAGTGTTTTGACAATCGTGGTAGTTTGCTATCTTAGTGATATATACTCAAAATTCCGACGTTGGAAAGGTAATAGGGATATCATTTGCTGATTGACTGTTATTTTCTTTATGCATCATCATTCAGTAATCAGTGATTTGATACTGAAATGATTTTTTTTTTCCAAACTTCTTCATTGATAGATTTCGAAAATATTAATAAATTAAGGTTCCAACTTCCTCAGGCAAAGTAACCATAGCTGAATTCTTTTGATATCCCTTTTGGTCATAAAGCACATAACATTTCTACGTATTTATTCATTCCTTTTCATATGCTTGAGATTACGCATCCTCAATTAAAACAAATCAGAAAAGCGTTTCGGACAAAATGTATAAAGTATCAATTTCATATCTATATTTATTTCAGTATTTTATTTTTGTCAGAAAATGTTTAACGTATTTTATGTCAAAAAAGTATGGAAAACACATGTTTTGATTGAAGTCAATACATATTTCTCAATTTGTCAATGTATTCGACATACAAGTACTGTGGCTGTACTTATTAAAGACACAGTACTGTTCACCTTCAAATCCAATACTGAGGACATGGAATATATTTGTTACTTTTTCAATTTATTTAGGGAAAACATTATTCTATTATTAAGCGTGTCAAATATTGCAGTTGTTGTTTGTTAATTATCAGTTTGTTATTATCGATTAACAAATGCATGCTGTTGATAAACACAGACCTTGTTTGATAAAATCTTTCTTTTGAGTTATAAAAATCTAATTTAAATCAAGTTTTTGGTTTTATATGAATTTAAGATTAAAAATTTTTTTACTTTGTACCATTGTATTATCAAATAAATCATTCTGATAACAGGTAACAGACGTCTTTTATTATTTTTAAAAGTTCGATACACATTTGATCAACTGCATTATACATAATACAACGAAATGCTGATTTGGTGAAGTACTCATATACCTATATACGATACCTAAAACTCAACGTCAAAATGGTATTAGCTGTTCTTACTTTTGTCACACATTTTTAATGACAAGAGCGCCACTTTCTTAATCTGGATATAGATACGTTAGACTGTTGTAAGGATTAAACAACAAGTTAGCTCAGAGAGAAACATTTGTCCGCGAGCTTCTGAAAAATTGTTTTTCTGTAGAGATAATGTATTAAGGTAAATTAACTGTACTGTTTATCCCCATTTAGTACTAAAAGACAAATTGAAAGAGTTGGTTTGGTTTTGTTTCATAAAAAAGAATGGTCAACGTAGATACAAGTATCCTGTCCTTTGGAGGGATAAATTTTACTTACAAAAATATCACTCCAATTCAAACAAAAAAATCTCTGAAAATGACATCATATTTCATTTCTTGTAATACTCAGACTGATTTTATAAGTACCAAATATTTGTTTTTTTCCTATTTTTAACTTGGCTATTGAACTGATATAGTAAAAAAATTATAAAGGAATTTTAACGAAATTTATTTTTTTTATTTGTAATAGGCAACAGGTTCGGGACACCTGTTTTTTATTTTTATTTTCAAAAAGCATCTTATAAAACCTATCATTTCATATTTTATTTCAAAATTCCATCTGATAGATTTCTTTCTATTCACAAAAAAAGTGTTTTTATGAATAATCTATACAATTTTGTGCAAAATTGTAAAACTAGTGACCGTACTGTTTATTTCATTTTTGAACAGAGCATGTTAAATTTACATTTTGACAAAGTATAAAAAAATATTTTTGGGGGAAAATGTCAGTAATGATCCACCTTTATGTTACTAGTTAACCAGGTTGTTCAATTACAAATGTTTCGACTGGCACAGTCGTATAAACAAATATTCATATTAGTGAAAGGTCGAGTTATCGGCGTGTTTAAGTAAGTTTATTAAGCTGTATACTTACATTGTACATCTAGTTGTTTCCTAATAATATCAGAGGTCCCAATCAAATTCATGGCAGAACATGAATACTGTCCGCTAACACTCCTTAAGACAGTTGTTATATTAAGAAATTTACCACTTATGGGAGCGCTTAAATCAGTCCAGTTATACGTAATATCAACTGCAGGGTTCGCATCATCTATTACACATGATAACTCGATGTTTTGTTGTCCTTCGTACAAAATGTATGGGTTGTAGCTTGGTTCTATGTGCACTGAAGGCCGGTCTAAAAAATATAATAATCTTTTACAGTTTGTTCCCGTTGTATGTTTGTTACAGTCTAGTGATACGTTTCTAAAGTTTGATTATGGAGAATAATATAATTCGATATTCTAGGGTTTTGCTTCCTGTCAAGATTTCCCTGGTAGGAGAATGATTCTTGCAGAGAAGCTATTAAACAGATTCTTTTTATAGTAAAGTTGAAGTTGCTCTTCAAAAATGTTACCGATCCTATCGTATACTGGTTTACAGTTTTGCAAAATATGTGCAACAGACGACAACGGGTATGTTCCCTTTTTTCAAGTTTAAAGTCATGATAACATTCATCTTTCATCTGCTTTTCTCTCCTGTTTCTTCTTGGGAATTTGTTTAATTGCTTGAAACAAAACAAAAAACATTTTTGTTGAATTATATTTCAGATTGCTTTTTCACTAACCATTCGGATAGTATGAAATGAGGTAAATTTTAATTACATGTCCCAATGAAAGGAATATTTTTAAATGCAACTATATGGGATATCAAACTGAATTCGTAAAAGTTAATGCAGTTATATATACTATATACCCGTCAATAACTTGTGATATGAGAGCCAGATTTTATGTTTCTGGTTTTAAAAATGCATAGACAGTTTATGGTATGAATTAACCGGTTTAGAATATCCATATAATGAATACAAAACAGTGTTTATTTAGTTAAAATGCTATCAAAAGTAAAGAGTGTGGTATGATTGCCAATGTTTTTTTTATCAAAAGGCGGAAAGACAATAGTGTTAAAGCCAAAAGTGTATTAAATAGGTAAATAAACGATTACCCAATTCAATACAATTATTTAACCCGACGCCGTTTTGACCCATTGAATATTTCACCCTTAAACCTCTTTGAGGCAAATCTTCTAAAACATTTCAGTAGCCTTTACGATCATGAACAACAGTAAACAATGTTTTATACATGTTATATATTTGTTTTCCTGGTATATCTGTCTGATATACATTTATTATATATCTTTGCTTTTTAATGAATACTCACATTGTACATTGACATCAAACATCTTCTGTGAAGTTCTTCTCTGCGATGACAGTCCTGATGGTGATAAAATGTTCATTGCATGACAAGTATAAGTATCGCTGTCATTCCTGTGAATGTTGCTAATCTTAAGATTTCTATAGTTAAATCTAAAGCCGGTCTCATTCTGCCGAGTCCACCATATCAATGTTGGGTTAGGATTACCGACAACATTACAGGTTAGTGTTAAGGTGTTTCCTTCTGTTATGTTATAATCAGGAATTGGTGCAATCAGAGGTTCATCTGGAATAAAAATAACACTTTATAAATACCGTGCGTCCGCTGCTCTTTTTTGGAATTACCTTCGTCAGGAACGATTGAAATCTAAACATATAAAACAGGGATGAATAAAGATTCTTGGTCGTCGCTTTACATATAACATGTTCTTCTTCCGTTTTATATCTATTTTGTATAAGTGAATTTTTTGTGATCATAGCAAACGACTGATATTTTGAAACAATATTTTAAAAATTTATCATAAAATTAAATCAACAAATCATAAGTCACATGAAAATAGACAACACCGTGGCAAACGGATCAAAAGATGAAAAGACAGACAATAATACAATACACACAAAAACAAAGATTAAACAAAACAAAGCAACCCAATTCACAAAAAAAAATAATAAAACCCCTCTGAAGGTACCAGATTGACTAGTAGTATCCGTTGAATTGCTTATTGCTAATAAAATTCCAATGAAAAATCAATTTCATTAATGTTATAATCGAGGAAACGAAGCTACAATTTGATGTTACCAACAGAGCCACAATTATTTGATGATAGGACATCATTTATATACTAGTATCAGAAAGTGAACAATAGCAGCGTCTATTCGTGTGATATCCGGGGACAACCCTGACCCTAAAGCGTGATGACGTTTGTAAAATTGTTTATAGATTAATTCAATTCTCGGTTTGATAGTTTTCTTATATGCAGCAACATCTTTCAAGAAAATTATGATAATAAAAATGCAATCAATTGAATATCGTAACAGCTGGGATATATATTTTCCACTGTTTCCATATGCAGTAGGAACTACAATTTTACTACACAGAAATGGACAGTTCACAATGGAAAAATCAAATCTATCTTGTACATATTATCAACTGAAGTTTTTGCATCACCTATTACACATGATAATACTATGTTCCGTTGTCCTTCGTACAAAATATTTGGTTTATAGCTAGGTTCAATGTGCACGGAAGGCCGGTCTTAAAAAGATCTGATAATCTTACAGTAAGATCCAGTTTTTTTGCCTTAAACGATTGCTAAAGTCTTATGATATCTTTCAAATATATGCTTATGAAGATCATTTGATATTCCAGGGGTTTGCTCTAATTTTTTAAGTTTTCCTTGGTAAAGGGTTGTTGTTTGCAGGGAACCTATTGAATAGAGGATTCGTTATGGTAAAGTTGAAGACGCTCTTCAAAAATGTAACCGAGGTCATAATCTGGTTGGCTGTTATGGAATATATGTGCCACAAACGACTAGGAGTATGTTCTAAATTTTTAAGTCACGATCATGTCCACCTATTACATTTAATGACATCATCGAATTATACTTATCAGACACTTAATGAGAAGGAACTGCTACGTCTTCCGGAAAACCAGAATTCCTCCTCCTTTTTCCTCTTTTTTCTTTTTCTAGTGAGATCGTGTTGCTTAATATCGTTTGTTTTTTTGTTCCTCTCTTTATTTCTAATTCTTTTAACAATGGTTCTGTCAATGATTTTGCTTGCCTCAAAATTATAATGGTCTCATATCAACCGGTCAAATTATACTCCAGTTGACAGCATACGACGAGTAAAGTCCGTTTTGCAATGAAGGCGTTACACTATATTGTTCAATTATTGTCAAATAAAATTTAAAGATGATCACCCATTCATTAATTTTGCAATGCGTAAAACATATCATCTGGGGGGTCTTCTCAATAATGAAAGAAAACATGAAATCAAGTACTAAAGCTTTTACCAAAAGAAACAATAGTTTTAATTAAAGTCATAAATAACTAAATGAAGTAATATATATTATTTACTCGTCAGTAAACATGTGACATCAAAGCCAGATTCTAGGTTTCTGATTTAAAACAATTTATACAGTTTTTCTAGGGTAGGAATTAACCGGTTTATAGATATCGAATTTGCAGCTCATCCTGTAACAGGTGCGCATTAGCTATTACAGAGTGGCTTATATGAAAGAAGTATACGACGTCAGTGTAGATTTTTTTATGTGCATCGTTATTATAGGCATCTTTTGTTGTGCAAGCATTCCTCACCATGTGATTCCAAGGATAAATCCAAAAGGAACTTTCACAGCCAAGAAGATGTTTATGTGAAATGCACAATATATTTTCTTCAGAATACATTGTTATATAGAAAAGTCTTCAGCAGATGATAAGGACTAGTTTAAAAATATAAACACTAAATATCACAATCACCAAATAAACGATGGTGCTACAGTTTAAATTTTAGTTTAACAATTTTAAATGAAATTAAATATCATTAACTGGTAGACTATTGGTGGTATAAGAAAGTTTTAATTGAGCTGAATAATGAAATATTGGAGAAAAACAACTACATCAAGGTATTGCAACAGGTATTTCATTCATAGATTTTTTTAAAACCGTTTCCAAAAAAGAAATATCGTTTATATGAATTTTTTTCTATTTCACCTAATGTGACCTACCGAATTAGATTTATCACTTACATAAGCAACACGACGGGTGCCACATGTGGAGCAAGATTTGCTTACCCTTCTGGAGCACCTGAGATCACCCCAAGTTTTTGGTGGAGTTCGTAATGCTCAGTCTTTTGTTTTTCTTTGTTGTATTTTATGTACTATTGTTTGTGTGTTGGTCTTTTCTTTTTTAGCCATGGCGTTGTCAGTTTATTTTCGACTTATGACTTTGAACGTCCCTTTGGTAACCTTCGCCTCTCTTAATGGAAAATGGTTCTGTACATATATAGTCCTAGTTTTGTCATAAGTACACGATCGCTTTCTTTACTCTTTATTAAAAGATATTATTAATTAATATGTTTTTATAATGAAACCATAGCCGTTATCTTGCCTTTTTACCTTTGTCTCAGTCACTGTCCAAGAACCTAACGTTTTGTGAGCTGAAGTGAATTATCACTAAACATCAAATGCTAATCATTACCCAAATAATACCTTACCGGGTTTCTTGAATCAAAGTTTGACAACAAGTGAGGAGTCAGCAATTCTATATTTTGTTTTAGAGGAGGGATATCGATATCTGGTTTGGAATGGAGAAAAAGTGATATCAAGAATACAAAACAGTGTTTGTTTATAATGTTACCAAATAAGAAATAAGAAGATGTGGTACAATTGCCAATAAGACAACTATCCACCAGAGCCTAATTTACTTAAATAAGCAAAAATTTGTCACCGTCCGACCTTTTACTTCGAGCAAAATCCATACTGTATAGTCAGGTATAAAAGGCCCTGAAAGAATGTCTTTATGTCACAAAAATAGATATAAGAAATCAATGATACAATTTTCTTTTGTATGGTGAGCTCGTGTTGCTGAACTTTTTCTTCTGTTGTGTTTCGTTGACTGTTTTTTTTTGTCGATTTCCCTTTTTGAACTGTCGGGTTTACTTTGACATATAATTTTTTATTGGCTCTTTGGCATGCTTTGGGTTTGTTTTAAGCCAAAAAACAATAATTTAAAGCCAAAAGTCTGTTTAGACTGGCAAATAAACGATTCACCGTATCATTATAATTATTTTGTTTAAATGTTAAAGCCGTTTTGACTCCTCGAACAGTTCATCTAAATCATCAATGAAACTCAAAGTTTAAAACATTTCATTAGCATTCAAGATGATGAGTAGCAGTAAACAATGTTCCTTTTATATACCATATTTCCTCGTTTTTCTGTTTTATATGCATTCATTTCATATCTTTGCTTTTTTATTTATACTTACACTGTACATTAACTTCAAACATATTTTGTGAAGTTCTTATCTGTTGTGACATTCCTGATGGTGTTAAAATGTTCATTGCATGACACGTATAACTATCGCTGACATTTCTGTGAATGTTGCTTATCGTTAGATTTGTATTGTTAAATATGAAGCCGGGTTCATTCTGGCGAGTCCACCATATTAATGTTGGGTCTGGATTACTTACAACATTACAGGTTATTGCTAGGGTGTTTCCTTCTGTTATGTTAATATCAGGAATTTGTGCAATCAGAGGTTTGTCTGAAATGAAAAATACACTAATTTATAAATCTCGTGCATCAGAAGAGCTTTTCTGGATTCATTTTTATCAGGAACGCTCAAACCTGATCATTTGAAAGCCAGGGATGCATAAAGTCTGTTGTTTATCGATTAACATATAACATACTCGTTTTTAAGTTTTTATTAATGACTATAATAACAGGAAGAGGCTGTATTATTTATACTATTTAAACATCTATAACAAAAAACAAGGACAAAAGGAGATTAGATAGCAATACAAAAACACCGTGATCAAAGGATCAAAAGATGAAAAAAAGCCAACAAAACAATACACAGAAAACCAAGGATTAAACTAAACTAACAACCCCTCCCCCTAGAGAAGATGCACATGGGAAAACACATACCCTCCCCCCTCCCGTTAAGGAAGTGTTATTTCTTCCAAAAATATCTTTACATTGCATATTGCATATAAATTCCAATGAAAAGTCATTTCTGTGATTTCATAATTGAGGAAAAGAAGAAGAAATTTTATGCTATTAACAGAGTCACAATTTGAATATTTCAGTGAGAGAACATCATCTGTATAGCCAAACGCAAACAATGTTAGCTTCTAATCGTGACATATCTGGAAACGCCTCTGATCGTAACAGTTAGCCAAATCATTATTGGGTTTGTGAAACTTTTTAGAGATAAATTCAACATAACTATTACGAACTTTCGGTTTAAAAGCTTCAATGTTAGTAGCAACGTCTTTCAGGAAAATATCTTGCCTATCGTACCAAATATGAGATATATTTTCCATACGCAGTAGTCGCTAGAATTTTACTTTACAGAAATGGAAAGTTCACAATGAGAAAATCAGATAATATTGAATGATTGGTTGCTGCTTGCTTAACACTTATCTTTGAGTAAACGTAAAGTTTATTTCTTAGCCGGTTGTCTGTGATAGTGGGAAAATGTCCGTCAGGATGTGAAACATCTTTACTGTATTCATGATATTCCTAATTTTAGTGTGAATGGGATTGATGTGATGAAAATTGCCACCAAATTTCAAATTAGTCGGTCATAGGACATCATCTATAAAGTGGAAAGTAAATCAAGAAGATATATATTGTATAAGCTATTGTATAAGTCTGTTTGATACGATTGATGAAACAAGTCAGTGAGAACAAAAGAGTAGCAAAGTGGGTTCCCATAGGAATTCAGATTGTCTGTTAATCAAACGTGGAAAAATGTTTTCAACAAATATTAAAAATCTCAATGATTTCCATTCGAGATCTTTTTGTGTAAAATGGTTATGAACAAAACGTTATTGTCTCTTCTAAAACAAGAAATGTGTATCTACGTTGGCCAAGTTAGTTTATTTCTTTTTGATATGTATGTAAATTCGAAATGAGGATTATTTATTTTCTAAACATACTAAAGCAGTCTTATTCAAATATATATTTATATTAGTGTGAAATTTTTAAATTTTTGTTTGGAATGTTTTTGACCAAAATGCTATTTTCCCTTCTTAAAAAAGAACTACGTTGGCCATTTTTTTCTTTAATATGTCTGTGAGTTTAAAATGAGGATTTATTTATTAAATTAACATACTAAAGCAGTGATATTCAAATTTATTTTAGTGTGAACTTTTTTAAATTGACGCATTATGAAAACATACACAAAATGTCAACTGTTCGTTTAAGTTACAAATAATGCATACTTTAAGATGTTTCTTGTCGAATAACATACCGAGCGGTGACATGTTTGATCAAATAAATGAACTCATCATAGATACCAGGATTGAAATTTTATATTTACGTCACACGCGCGTTTCGTCTACAAAAGACTCATCAGTGACGCTTGAATCAAAAAATATTAAAAAGGCCAAATAAAGTACGAAGTTGAAGAACATTGAGGACCAAAAATTCCTAAAAGTTTTGCCAAATACAGCAAAAGACCGACAGTAGGGAGGTGTGTTATATGACAAGAAACACCTTAAAATATGCATTATCTGACTTATATACCCTCAAAAAATATTATTTTCTCCAAAGAATTGCATGATTTGCATCCTATTTTACCGACCACACTAAAGTGAAAAATAAAAATAAAATAAACTTTATGAAATGAGATGCTTTGGGGTTTTTTTCATGACATTTTTATCATTTTCATCGCGGGAAAGCAGATTATTTTTTCAACAATTAACAAACTATTCAGAATAATTGTTTTCTCTGTTTAGTCTTGCAAGACATTTTTTTTAAACTGAGATCAGGAATAAATATTATGCTTCAACCACCCCACCCTATTATAAAGTACGTGGCAGTTATCCTATAGAAAATAAGAACATTTGGTCATTTGTTCATATGATAGACGTAAAAAGTTAAAAACTGACACGAAGAAAACACGAACTTATGATACATGTACAGGTAACACAAAAAAAGAATATTCATAGGTTAAAGTAGTATATTCAATACAGTGTGAATCAAAATGTTCGAAAGTTAAAATGTGTGGTAAATTTTTGGTATTTCAGTCTAATAAACGGAGGAAAGGATTGTTTCTGCTTTAACCCTATCAAAGACGGGAAATTAAAAAGTAAAACCCCAATTGGCAACAACACACGATAACTATAAAAAGAATTAAATGTTAAAGTAAATTATAGTTTGTATCTTAATCAGAAAAAAAAGACCTTACATAGGTCATTATTGTATGCCTTGAAGCAAATTTCATTGAAACTTGGTATCTTCCGGGTTGATTCTTCAAAAGAAAGACCTACCGTTCTGAAAGAAAATAACACCATAGGTATATAAGTGATTTTAAACTGTGTTCCTCTGTATTATTACCCACGCAAAATATTGTCTTCTCATTGTTTGGCTATGAGGGATCCACAAATTCGCGGACACATCCGGTCGGAAATTGGACGTTACATTCGATTACTCGTGTATGGTGAAGCCACGCGCTGTATGTTAAAGAACCCTTGCAACAATTCTGACTGGTATATCGGTGGCATGTGCAAGGCAAAATGTATGTCCCTAACTAACAAATCCTTATTTTCAACTTGCATTCCAAATCTCTCGCCTTCCATCCCTGTTGTCCTACCTTACAGAACCTACTTTTTTGTATTCATTGTTAATTTGTTTCTCGAACTGAATATTCACGAAATAATTGTCTTAAGTCGTTAATAAAATCAAATATTTGTTTTCATAATTAAAGTTAAATAATTAAGATGACATATTCAAGTTCATATCTGAAACTTTCAAAATTCAAACATTATGTATACCTACATAAAATATCAATACTTTTCATTGATGAGTTTAAACTTTGTCCCTCTACGTTTACAGCTGTGCAGTAAATTATCTTTCCATGGTCAGTAATATCACCAACATATAATAGAACACTTGACGATATTAATGTTTCACATCCAGAACTACATATGTCAGGCTGAGCAGTAGCTTTATCAGTAATGTTGGTACCAGACAGATACCACTGTATCCTTGCCGACGGCCTACCGGCATCCGTTGTACATGTGAATCGCTGATTTGAACCGGATACTACTTGTATTGGGTTATCATCACTGGGAGTTGCCGTTAAATTTACTTTTGTTATCGGAACTGAGAATAAACGGAAAAAAATATGATGAACATAACTATAAGACATTGGTTGGACAGGACAAGATTTAATTGACATGATATACGTTAATGTTCGATGTAAAAACGTAATTGGATACTCGTCAATTAATAAATTAGTACATTAAAAAGATATTTCTAATTTTATTTTCTCATCTTTACTCTTGCTCCTTATATAAAATGTGAAGACTTACATCTCACGAACAAAGCAAATTTTAGTACATTTGCATAGAAAGTACTAAAAATCTGCATTAAACGTTCTTAAAATTGTCTTAAAAACATTAAATCTCCATTGATTTTTCTTTAAAATTGATACGTTAAACCTTTTGATTGATTTTAATAATCATAGGAATACTGACTTTGATTTTGATGTATCATCTAATTTTTTACATATAAGATATTCAAAATGTCGAAAAACAACGAATAAGGATTATGAACGCGACGGCATCACGCTTATTTCCACACTTTGTGGTATTGTTTTCACCTAAAACACTACTTGCTTCGGACGCATGAAATTGATAAATTGTGTTTTTCATTCTTTATAGCACTAGGTCGATAATGCTGCTGGTGGCCAATCAGTCCGCGAGGGTATCACCAGCTCAGTTGTCAGTACCGAAGTACTGACATGATTTAGAAAAACACTTTCTAAATTTGTCCAATTATATATTTAGAAATTAATAAGAAACTAAGGTTTCAACTCCCTTAAGGAAAGTTCACCTCAATTTAATTTGGATGTTATTTTCGTGTCATTTTTGTTCATATAGCTCTGCAACTGTTTCGGTTCTTATACATCCTTGGCTTTCAAATATTCGACTTTGAGGGTTCCTGGTGATGGTAAATCATAAAAGCGCTCCGGACGCATGAAATTTATAAAGTGTTGTTTTAAATTTTTTAACTGGTCTGTGACCTTTTTTTTCACCAAAAAATGGAAGTTTATCGGTCAACAACGTATCAATTTTTAAGAAAATTCTATGCATTGTGTTAAAAGATAAGAGTTTTTAAAGATATTTTTGCATAATTCTTGAAACAAAGTACACATGTTTCTTATGATGTGGTAGTTTAAAACACATATTAAATGACGTTTCACTGAACATGGAAATTCGATATTTTGAGCGTTGAATGGGGTCACATGGAAACATATTCTTGTTTTCAATTACTACTGTCTGATTAAAGAAATGAGCAAATTTTCAGAAAAAGGTTGTTGCACACTATATACTTTAAATTGAAATATGTATAGGGATGCAACTGAGTCGTCCATGTGTACAATACATGTAAACATATAAGCCTTAATTCCTGTGACCTTTCATTTAAGTACCACTGTATCCTAGATCTAAAATAACTTCAATTCAATGTTAGACATGAATATCATTTATTATTCTGGTTATAAGCATTATTTGCATAATTTTTCATTAAATTAAAGCATGTTTTTGTCCCCGGACTCCTCTCTCGATCCGACAGGAAAATACTTGCTAAAGTTTGTCGATTGTTTGGCTGTGCGGGATGTAACAAATTTGCAGCAACGTCCATTCGGAATTTGGACGTTACATCCGATGACTCGTGTAGGGTGAATGCCACTGTCTCTGTATGTTAATGAACACATGAAACATTGTTTACGGGTCCGTCGGTGCTCTGTTGCAAGGCAAACTTTTTGTCTCTATCAAACAAAGGTAGCACTCCACAGTTAGGTGTGTAGTTTCGCATTTTGGCCCCTGTGGATTTTTCAAATATGAGAGCTAGTGTGCAATAAAATTCATTTTTGGATAGCTGAAGATTAATTTAGCCTTCATAATTGTTTTCTTCTAATTTTTTGTCGCACGAACTTTGTGTATAAATTTTACGAAAATATTAGGCCAAAGACACCCAATTTTTATTTGATCATTTGGTAGGTTAATGTCAACAGTTTCAGAAAAGGTATCACTCATAGGCATTGAAATTCTAGTTTAAACCAAATTTTGGGGTAATGTGACATTTTCATGCCCCTTTTTGCAATATTTTATAATAAATAAGTGCAGAATGTTGCCATGGATACACAAAAAAGGAATTATTTTTCACCATTTTAACTTTTGAAAATTACATCTATGGAAGATACTAATTACATACATATGCACTTGTATGTCACAAACAGTTGGCTTAATGTATTAGAAAGCCAGGAAAAGAAGATGATGAAACATTATGTGGTTCAATTTTAATTTTATTTTCTAATTGTGGAGTGCTACCAAAAACTTATTTTCAGCAGGCATTCCCAATGTCCCGTGATTAATTCCGGTTTGCCTGCTTTTGGGAATCTACCAATTGTATTCATTGTTAATTGGATAAACTGAATATTTATGTAGCAATTGACTTTGGGCGTTAAGCAAGCAGCAATCAATCATTCAATAGTATCTTGTATTCAAATTTGAGTTTAAATACTTAAGAAGACATATTCAAATTTATCTCAGTACGAACTTTCAAAATTTAAACATATGTATACCTACACAAAATATCAATACTTTTCATTGATGAGTTTAAACTTTGTCCCTCTACATTTACAGCTGTGCAGTAAATTATCTTTCCATTGTCAGTAATATCACCAACGTATAATAGAACACTTGACGATATTACTGTGTCACATCCAGAACTACATATCCCAGTCTGAGCAGTTGCTGCATCAGTAATGTCGGTACCAGACAGATACCACTGTATCCTTGCCGACGGCCTACCAGCATCCGTTGTACATGTGAATCGCTGATATGAACCGGATACTACTTGTATTGGGTTCTCATCACTGGGGGTTGCTGTTAAATTTACTTTTGTTATCGGAACTGAGAATAAACGGAAAAATAAATACAATTAACTTCGCTAAAAGATTTTATTTTTTTTTTTGGCTGCAACTCATATAAAAACAAAAATAAGACGATGTGGTATGATTCCCAATAAGACAACTCTCCTACTGAGAACCAATTGACATACAAACAAACAAATATAGGTCACTGCACAGCCTTCAACAATGAGCAAAACCCATAGCGCATAGTAAGCTAAGAAAGGCACCGAAATGACAATTGTAATACATTTCAAACAATAAAACTAACGATCTGATTTATACAAAAAACAATTAACGAAAAACAAATATAATATACAGCAACAAACGACAACCAATGAATTACTGGCTCCTAACTTGGACCAGGAACATACAGAATGTTGCGGGGTTAAACATGTTTGACCTTGGTGTCTTAATACAACATTAGAACAAACTATAAAAAGCAGATGAAAAGGGTTTAACTCACCAGATTGTTATGAAACACAAAATAAAACCTCACAAAATCACAAAAGACACATAGTTCAGATATTGGTGTATTCGCCGTTACTGAAAGCTAGATCAAAGACAATAACAACAAATAAAAAATCATGTGTCTAACTGAAAAATCAAAATCTAAGAAAGAACAGTTATAAATTTCGATAGTATATTTAAAACATTCTTGGTTATTTAACGAACAATATCATCAAGATAACTTGATATATTAACTTGAAACAAAGTACACATGTTCCTTATGATGTGTAGTTTGAAACACATATTGAATGACGTTTCACTGAACATGGAAATTCGATATTTTGAGCGTTGAATGGGGTCACATGGATACATATTCTTGTTTTCAATTACTACTGTCTGATTAAAGAAATAAGTAAATTTTCTGAAAAAGGTTGTTGCACACTATATACTTTAAATTGAAATATGTATAGGGATGCAACTGAGTCGTCCATGTGTACAATACGTGTAAACATATAAGCCTTAATTCCTGTGACCTTTCATTTAAATACCACTGTATCCTAGATCTAAAATAACTTCAATTCAATGTTAGACATGAATATCATTTATTATTCTGGTTATAAGCATTATTTGCATAATTTTTCATAAAAGTAAAGCATGTTTTTGTCCCCGGACTCCTCTCTCGATCCGGCAGGAAAACACTTGCTAAAGTTTGTCGATTGTTTGGCTGTGCGGGATGTACAAATTTGCAGCAACGTCCGTTCGAAATTTGGACGTTACATCCGATGACTCGTGTAGGGTGAATGCCACTGTCTTTGTATGTTAAAGAACACACGAATCATTGTTTACGGGTCCGTCGGTGCCCTGTTGCAAGGCAAACTTTTTGTCTCTATCAAACAAAACCTTATTTTCAGCAGGCATTCCCAATGTACCGTGATTAATTCAGGTTGGCCTGTTTTTGAGAATCTACCAATAGTATTCATTGTTAATTTGATAAACTGAATATTTATGAAACAATTGACTTTGGGCGTTAAGCAAGCAGTAATCAATCATTCAATAGTATCTTGTTTTCAAATTTGAGTTTAAATACTTAAGAAGACATATTCAAATTTATATCAGTACGAACTTTCAAAATTTAAACATATGTATACCTACACAAAATATCAATACTTTTCATTGATGAGTTTAAACTTTGTCCCTCTACATTTACAGCTGTGCAGTAAATTATCTTTCCATTGTCAGTAATATCACCAACGTATAATAGAACACTTGACGATATTACTGTGTCACATCCAGAACTACATATCCCAGTCTGAGCAGTTGCTTCATCAGTAATGTCGGTACCAGACAGATACCACTGTATCCTTGCCGACGGCCTACCAGCATCCGTTGTACATGTGAATTGCTGATTTGAACCGGATAATACTTGTATTGGGTTCTCATCACTGGGGTTTGCTTTTAAATTTACTTTTGTTATCGGAACTGAGAATAAACGGAAAAATAAATGCAATTAACTTCGCTATAAGATTTTTTTTTTGGCTGCAACTCATATAAATACGAAAATAAGGCGATGTGGTATGATTGCCAATAAGACAATTTACTAATGAGAACCAATTGACATACAAGGAAACAAATATAGGTCACCGCACGGCCTTCAACAATGAGCAAAACCCATAACGCATAGTAAGCTATAAAAGGCACCGAAATGACAACTGTAAAACATTTCAAACAATAAAACTAACGACCTGATTTATATAAAAAAACAATTAACGAAAAACAAATATAATATACAGCAAAAAACGACAACCACTGAACCACTGGCTCCTAACTTGGTACAGGAACATACAGAATGTTGCGGGGTTAAACATGTTGGACCTGGGTGTCTTAATACAACATTACAACAAACTATAAAAATCAGATGAAAAGAGTTTAACTCATTAGATCGATATGAAACACAAAATAAAACCTCACAAAATCACAAAAGACACAAAGTACAGATATTAGTGTATTTGCCGTTACTGAAAGCTAGATCAAAGCCAATAACAACGAATAAAAAATCATGTGTCTAACTGAAAAATCAAAATCTAAGAAAGAACAGTTATAAATTTCGATAGTATATTTAAAACATTCTTGATTATTTAACGAACAATATCATCAAGATAACGGTAAAAGAGAGGCAACAGATACCAAAGGGACATTCAAACTGACAACGCCACGGTGACAAAAAAGAAAGAAAAAGACAAACAACAGCATACAAAACACAACATAGAACACCAAATACTGAGCAACACGAACCCCACCAAAAGGTTGGGGTGATTATAGGTGCTCTGAAAGGGTAATTGTTGTTAAATTTATTTAGACGGGTCTTTACTGGCCATAAACGTGATTCATAAGAATACAGGAACAAGTCTCCTGTTAAAGGAGCGCAATAAGTGTCCACAGGAATTCCAACAACCTCTCAATACACTGTATTGCCGAAACGTAAATAAATGTTGTCAATCATGTTATTACACCTCCAGTAAATATATCTAGCATATTTACATATCTCATTAGAAAAGAAGGCTTTATATTAGTTGCAGCAAATAAATTTACAATCAGATTTTTCAAACGACTATTTAATTAGATAGAGAAACTTTGATTATAAGATTGAGTTGAAGTGTAGTGCAAATATTTGAAAAGTCAATTTTGCTGTATATATAGAATGCTTAATAAAAATGGGATATCACATGCTAATTTTTCGGAGAAGAAATTGTCTAAAAATTATAAAATCTCCATCGATTTTTCTTTAGAATTGCAACGTTAATTTTCCGTTTGAAGGACATGAAATAATAATAGGGTCATTCACTCCGGTTTCTATTTATTTACGAATTTGTTAACTAAACGATAATGAAAGCGTCGAAAAACAAAGTTTTGTTTTATTAAATTACTTTGGAACGTGACGACGTTACGCTGATAAGGTTATTTCGCATTTTTCACATAACTTTGATTGATGTTTACCGAAAAAACGAAGTTAGTGACCTTTTATATCACATCATTAAAACGGAAACTTATCTAAGAAAAACCTTTGCAATGTGTTTAGAGAAAGGATTTTGTAAAGATAGATTTTACAAAGATCTTCTTAGGTTTTACGTATATTTGATACAAATGTTGAACTCTTTCAGGTTTTTTTTTATTAATATTTTGAAAAGTATTAAAGTTAAAAGATCTTGTATCAATTTTCGGTTGTAGCTCAACATGTTTTAAGTTTCATGGAAAACTTTACCAACATTTGAATGACAATTGTTACATTTGTTTTGGTTTATAAAAATGTTACTATAAAATCCTGAAAGAATTGTTTTCATATTGAACATGTTGAATAGTATGTTAATACTAGTTATTATTGACAGGTATTCTAATAACGTTTTCGTCCTCTACTTACTATTAACATATAACAGTACTGATTCTGAAGTTAGAGATCTATCGCCACATGTCCAGCGAGTTCCATGCAAGACATCTATATCAAACGAAGGTATAGTTAACGTAATTGTGCCATGGTCACAAAAACAACTATCGTTTTGATTAATTTTAAATATGTAACAGTCTTCACCATATCTCATATGTGCGAAACATTGAGGTTCATTATCTCTTGATATATTCACCAATGTACCATATTTTGGAGGAGAATTGAAGCATGTGAAGGTAAAGTCCATTCCAGTAGTAGCGCTATCAGATGATGTCGTCAACAGAAATGCTACAAACAAACCTTTTCAATTAGTAACATGTATACACTTTTTTTATAGTGAAATTGATTAAAACTGTAGTAAAAGTTGGACACTTCCCATGCGAAACTGTAAGAAGATGTGCTTGCCATTTTTCTTGAACAGCTGGTAATTTCATCATTTCTTACATTCACATTCGGTAATGTATAAGGATAGAGGAATTTGCATGTACCAAATATTTTTCAAATATGGCAATCAAAATAACTTCTAAGACAGACAAGATACATCGTCCAATTCTGCTATTTGTATGCCTTATTACCAATCACACCCTATCATTTATCAGGACGTTATCGGTAATGGAAGAAGAAGTGCTACAGTAACCCTTCTATTACACTTTCTTCAACCCAAATGTTGGTGAGTAGTCGCTGTCCAGTCATTGTTTCTGTAATTTGGTTTGTTGACTATTTGTCTTCTTTTTTTCTGTTCGATAAATTGTTAAATGTGCTATTTGGGACATTGAATTCAGTTTTTAATGCTGTAATAGAAGCTTAGACAAAAGTTGAAATGAAGGTAAAAGACAAAACATACTGAAGTAGTGTGCACAGTATGGTTGTGTACTGACTAGTCTGTAAATATTTCATGATGTTTCCGAAAGTTGACTTACATTTATTATCTTCTTCGTTACTTTCCCCTCTTTTGTAATTTCCCCTTATTTACATGATCACGTTAATAATTCAGCATCATTTATTGACATATCTGTCAGATTCCGGCACAGTGTAAGTTTATAGCATATTGACAATTTGAAGAACTGTTTATTGTAAGCATACATAACATGTATTGTGTTTTGATGACGTATAAAACGTAGGGTAAATGGCAATGATGACAAAATATGCCACGTCACCAGATCATTTGTTTTATTGTTTCACAACCGTTTGTTATTACTTGTAAACACACAGAGACAAGATTACACTATAAAAATGTTCTATAAATATTCAAATACCCGTTTTGGTAATTTTTGTATGATTCATAGCACCCCCCTCATTTCGATATTTTTAAAGTATGGAAAGCAGTTTGTGTCATAATTTGCATACATAATTTTTGATACTTGTAGAGTTTTCAACACATTAAAAGCTGTACACACCAATTTTGACCCACGATTATGTTACCAAACTTGATATATTATTATTGCTTTTATTTTTTTATGTGAATGTATGGAACACAATTAGTGTCATAAGTCAACTTTGTATTTTTGTATGTTTTGGCAAATTGTTTTGATTGATAGGTTTTATATTGTGTTTTCATTTGTTCTTTCAGCTTTTTACCGTTCACTTTGGAATTATACTCACCTGTCATCATTTGTAATCATTCATTGAACACCAGCATACCTTTGTTATTCATGCTACCTTGTGTTAATAGAGTGGATTATATGACAATAAATATAACGGTTATCTTTAATGAAGTCCATTATTCAATGCCCAGCAAAAAATAGATGGGAGTCATTACAGTAAAAAGACTAAGGAGATTTACCTGGCTAGTGATGTAACTTACCTGGCATTCAAGATGGCTGGTATAGAAGACAATATTGACTCTGCATCAAGTACTACATCCGAGATGATCAACACTGCGGATACAGATAAAAGATTACGCACACTTACCGAGAGTGGTAAAGAACTTTTTGAAAACAAACAAAGAAAATTTCTGTTAAAAATGCAAATCGTTAAAAGTGACCTTCAGCTTTTAGCAAGAAACATCGAGCCATATTCTAATGAATTAACATCATTACAGGAGCTAAAAACAGAATTTATGAGTGGAACTGTCCGTTATGACACAATTTGTAAAGAATACTTAGATTTTCTTTCGAGGAATAACACTGCTGAAGGCATGAATGAGGTTCATAAACTATCAGGTGAAATGCAAGATTTTACATACTTTGTGGAAACAGAAAGTAGACGTATGAACACATTCATTAATGAGTTACGTGCCATAGAGAGAGAAAATTCCTTAGCTAGCAAAAGTTCTAGGAGAAGCCACTCATCAAGAAAAACACATAGTTCCTCCTCTTCATCAGTTCTTGCAAGAGAAAGGGCCAAAGCTGAAGCTGCAAAGGTGAAAGTTCAATTTGCAGAGAAAGTAACTTTGTTATTGAAGGAGAAAGCACTTCTTGAAGAGAAAAAATCAATAGAATCAGCAAAAGTCGAACGCACGAAAGCCGACATTGAAGCCGATTTAGACCTGCTTTCTCGACAGAAGGAAGCAGCAGCAGTTGAAGCAGAGGCTGAAGCCTTGCAAAATGAATGCGATGAAAATATGTCACAAGTGTTGCCTGATCAACCACCGCTTGATTCGAAATCAAAAACTGCCGCATATATTAATCATGTTCAACAACAAGTTAGTTCAATTCATATCGACAAAGAAAACACACATTTAACTCATATCGATCAAGAAAACACACATGTCAGTGGAACATTAGACCCACATGCCAACTCGTTCATTCCCAGGAAAAATGGTAGTGCAGAGACACATGTGTCAGATAATCATCCATATCCGAGTGATAGAACTCTTGCTACTGATTTCACACGTTTCTTGTTAAAACGTGATCTCTTAATGTCAAGGTTCAATATTTTCAATGATAAACCCGAGTATTATCCATCCTGGAAGGACAGTTTCAAGAAAATAGTTAAAGAGATTGAT